TTCAGGTTGCGACCAATTCGGGGTGCGACCAGAGTCACGGAACGAATTAAGTTCGTAAACCTAGGTTCCACTGTATGCACAACTCTGTTTATATGATTTGACCCCAAATACAAAGCATTTTCCTCTGAATCTATGGAGCAAAGAACTTGCATGGTATTGTTATAATGTACCCTCTTTATCTTGTATGTATATATGTTATGCTGCTCAAGCAAATATTTATAGAGAACGATATACACAAATATACACAAATCCATTTGCCTCCCTTTCTGTATTTCACTATCATTATAAACATTCCCAAAGTAGGGACTAAATCCAGGAAAAGCTTGAAGCTTATGGATTGGTTTATTCTGAAATTCTAAAAATTTCTGAAATTATTCTGAGATTCTGAAAGAAATGGAGACTCCATTATCATATTGCAGAAATTTAAAACCAATTTAAAAAATAGATTTCGGGGGGGGTGTAAATATATGTAAAAATTGCAGGAACTCTGCATTGTCTCTGGATCATTTATTAAATTCCTGATATTCACACTGGTACAAACAAATGGAGATGCCTCTGTAAGATGCTAGTAATTTTCAGGATTCTTCTAAGGTTATTTGAAGAAAGATAGCATTTTTCCAGAGTTATGCCTCTTCAAGATTAACCTTCCCTAAAAATATCACCTAAAAGAGTAATATAAAAATAAATAGATAAGACAGAATTAGGGTTGAGAACATAATCTATTGTCTGCAGCTGCCAGGTGATGCCAGGAAAAACAGCTGTTTTAGAGTTGCAAACAAGTTGCAACTCTCCCCAACACTCTAAAATGCCCTTTTGAAACAGAACCAGAAGTGTTGCCCAAGCCTACTCACTGCCATTTTTCAATGAAACAGCTGTTCATTGAAAATATCCTGGTAGACTATTTATGACCAAAATTACCCATTCTGATAAGAAGGTCTGAACTGAAATGACCACCAGTAGTAGAAAAAGTATTGTAACAAAAGAAAAGGTGGTTGTGGAACCCCCTTTAGTTATCTTTAGCTGTGGCTGGTGTATATTGTTTTTCCAGCCAGCCAGGATCTTTCAAAAAAATTAGATAAAATAAAATAAAATAAAATAAAATCTCCTACCTCTTCATTTGTGCCTGTCTCAGGTTCATCCAAGGGCATCTTGGAAGCATGTCTTTGTTTCCTTGGTATATGGACTTTTGGAGTAGCAAAAATTATATCACACAAGTGTTGGGAAGTTTTCTGTGACCAAGCACCTACATTTTCTCCTCCCTTTTGGCCATATTTTTTATTGGAAGGATGTACCACTCCTTTTTCTTGAGGATGTTTTCCAGATGCTCCTTCCTTCAAGAATTCTCTAGATTTAACAGGACCATCACTCACAATCACACGATTAGGTATTATGTTAAAAGTCTCATTGGCCAATTCAGCAGGTTCCACAATAAACTCCTCATCCTGGCAAGCAGTAGTACTTAGACATTGTTCATTAAAATTATTAAGTTTTTTTGTTGGACTGGATGTGATTAAAGGTTGCTTTGCTGTAGGTGAAGGAGAGACATTTTAATTTAGTACAGTGAAGCATCTGCTACAGGAAATATTCATTTGATAACTACTGTTTCAGGAACAGTTGTTATGCATACACAAATTATTTTTTTCCTCAGTTTCTTAGAACAGGAAGCTTTAGTGGTAGTTATTCATCCCTTAATACATCAAAGTTTGATTACTGCTACATGCTCTACTTGGAGCTGCCCTTGAAAACTACTCAGGAACGTCAACTGGTGCAAAATATAGCAGTCTGTATGCTGGTAAGTGAAAATCAGTATACACTAATATTGCAGGTGCTGCATTGGTTATCAGTTTGTTTCAGAACAGAACTTAGTGTACTACTTGTTACTTCAAGTCCTACATCACTTAAGACCAGCTACTTATGCAGCTTGTTTGCTCCAGAGAGGATCTGTCCATTCCATTTAATCACACCTGAAGGGATGCTAAAGATGCCCCTTCCTTCAATAAAACAGAGGAAGGACCCAGAAATGAGTCATTTCAATAGTTGCCCCATCCTTGTAGAATATGCTACCCCCTGAAATCTGTACAGTCCCCATTTGGTAAAGGGAAAAATACACACAAGGATTAGAGACATTTGGTGTGTTTTTGCTTTACCTTACTGTTACATTATTATTGTAATATTTACAATATTGTATTATGAGCTTTATTTGGATGTTAGCGTCCTGGAATCTTTGGAGCTGGGTGGAATATAAATGTTAGCAAATAAATGAATTAAATAAATACAGGTGGTCCTCATTTAACAACCACTCAGTCAGTGACTGTTTGAACTTGCAATGTTGCTGAACAAGTGGTAGTTAGGATCGGACCTTGTACTTACAGCCATTGCAGCATTGCACAGTCACATTATGATGATTTGCAATCTTCTCTGCCAGTTTCCCACAAGCAAAGTCAACGGGAAAGCCAACAGGAAGTTGGAAGTCGCAATCACATAAGGTCCTCACTTAACGACCCATGCAGCCCTCTAATGACGGCAACCAGGACTGCTGGAACTGCCATCACTAAGTGGCACAGTCGTGTGGTTTTTCAACTTGCGATTGCATCACTTAGCAACAGAGTTTCCAGTCCCAATTAGCGTCATTAAACGAGGACTATCTGTTTATAACTGTTAAAAAGAAAGTTGGAAGTTGCTTATTTTTCTGATTCTCATTTAACTATTTTTCTTTCTTTGTTTTGCTTCCCTCCTTCCCTCCCATTTTCTCTTTACATTTATATTTTATATATGTAAACATTCTTAATCAAATACACACACACACACACAAAATAATATATTGTATATATTTTTATGGCATCAGAGGAAATTTCAGAAATTTAATTAGATCAAATGCTGAATAAATGAATAAAAGCATCTACAAATCATTTGGCAGTTTCCCATGTAACTTTAGTGATTAAAAACAGAACATTCCATCTTTTACAAGAAAATTATACTTTCTGCAGCAACCCCAAGACATTGTTGCAGCCTACAGACAGAAAGATTGAAGAATTTCAAGATAAAATATATGCAAAGCCTCTCATTGCCTATGAAAAGTATTACCTTTTTCAGACAGATTCTCCTGCAACTTCTGTTTCACACGAGAGAAGAACTTGTTAGGCGATTCCAGAACTGGAGGACTTGTTACTGCAGTACATATATTTTTGTTCACTGCAGTAGAATTTGCTACTGAAACTGGAAAGACAAAAACTATCAAACCCACTGACAAGTAGTTTTCAATACCCAGTAGACTAAAAATAACTTTTTAGAAAACATGGAATTTAACATTTGCATAGCAGTATACAATACAACTAGAGCAAAAGACAAATGTTATCACTGAGGAAGCTTAGATGTGCTTCTGAGAGGTCTCAGGGGTGCCAACGCATAATTTGACAATTAATTATACGATTATTTCCTCATCACCACTTTATTATACCATCAGTTAATTTTTTGCTTGCATAGTATTGCTGGAAGGCCATGACAGCTACACTACACTACACTACACTACACTACACTACACTACACTACAAATGACAGCTATCCTTAAGAAGTGATGCTGGGAAACAATGATTCAAATGCAGTTTAAAGCAGCTTTGTACATGCAGGGCAGAAATATACACAGTATAAAAATGAACAATAAGAGAAGGTTGGAGAAAAAGCAATAGGTAACAGATGAAATGGAAAGGAGAGTTTGTTCAGGAATATTCTGAAGGCAAATCTATTAGCAAATAATATTTTATAACAAAAGTCTAAGTTCAGAAGGCTGGGAGCAGGCTACCCAATTTCTATCACTGCTAGGTAGAAGCTCTAGTCAAGTTATTTTTGTAATCATATCTCAAATATCTAAGCATGATGCTGCCATTAAGCAAAACAAATTTGGAAGAAATCATACAACCAACCTGTTTCTACATTGGATTTTTCAAGAAAATCTTCATTCAGCTTTTTCTTTGGTTTATCTTCAACTATGGGTATTTTTTCTGGTCTTTGCAGAAAGGCAAGGTGCCTCTCAGGAGTGAGAATATAATCTGTGGTTCTCTTTGAGTCCAACAATTTAGTTTCTAGAGGCTTGTTTTTCTCTTTGACAAGAACTGATCTTTTTTTCATTCTTGAGAATATTTTTGCTGGAGATTCAAGGGATAATGGCTCACAAGCTTTACGTTTTAGAAAGGCACTCCTTGTCAGTGGCATAGTTTTCTGTTTCTGACATGAAGAAACCAACTCCAGGGCTCCTTTAGAAGGTGGTTTTATTTCACTGAAGTCAAGGAATTCTTTAGTATTCATATCCCCAGATATTAAAGTGGATTGGAAAACATTTATTCCTTTAATCTCTTTGCCTGAGCAAACTTTTTGGCAAGCAAGAACCACTGAAGGAAGAATTTCAGCTGAATCAGAAGTACAATTCACTTGGAACTTTACAAAATCCTTTAAAGGTGTACCACCAGGGATATTATGTAGAGAAACTGCTTTCAAGGACATTTTTCCTTTCCTGTTAAACAGAAATTAAGATGTTGAAATCCTTCAATCTGATAAAGGTACAGCATTTCCAAAAACAAAATCTCTTTATTATAGATGTCTTTTTAAATTAAAAAGAAAATGTCTGAGATCTGCAAACATGAACTTTACATTTTAGCTTTAAAAAATAAAGAGTATTAGCTATGTTATAAAGTAACACAAACCAACTTTGCTAAATGCATCTAAATTCCCTAAATTATTTAATACTTAAATTGCAAATGAGAGACATAGTAACACCGTATAATGAAATGCCACTAGTGGCATTTTGAAAATTTAGTTATAAAATATAAAAGGACATTTTCTATTCTAACATAAGGCAGCTACAATATAGAATTTCATCTAAGTGTTGAATACATAATATATTTGTCTACAAAATTCAGAAGTAACAGATGTTATACTCTACCAGCATAGATAATCCATCAGGCACTTTAGCAAAACCAAATGAAGCTAACAACATTTATTTCAAAGTTACTGGAATTACACCAAAAATCAGGAGTCTGGTAGTAATTTTTCAGAGTCACAAATTTTATTAAAAGGCATAGGCTTTCGTGAGCACTACCATTCTCCTTCTGATTTTTGGTTACCATAGGCTAAAACAATTCTCATATAAAGGATTATACCAAGGCTGCAGTTCTTCCAAAGAGTAAGAAGAGTATTGTGTTTATTCCTTTTTAACAGGGCAAGCAACCACTTGCTTGCCAAGGGTCACATATAACACTTTTAGAGAAAATGAGGTCCACAAGGTGGGTAGAGCCAGATCATATATATGGCTAGGACTGGCAGAGATACTAGTGATAGGAAATGGAGGAGGAATGACAAGACAATATACCATGACACAAAACACAAAACCTATATATTTGCATCAGACATTAGGTTGCAAGTACCTTAGGGTCAAGATTTGCATCACACCACCACCATTTGGTTATTGTCACTTTGATGTGACAATTTGCTTGATTTGCTGCAGATGCTTGAATGGACTGGGATTTTGGGACAAGTTTAGGGGGATTCATCTGCTTTTCCTATGAGATGGCTGAGGGTTTAGAATACAGTACAGTATTCATTTGTTTCCCACCTCAAAACCACAGGAATTACTGACAATTTTCACCAGTCATTTATTCTTTCCATTCCTATGAAAATCAGAGGAAAATCAGTGGTCCTGGGAGTGCAGGTTGCCCACCCCTGTTCTGCAAGAGCGAAGCTACAAAAGCCAGGGATTCTTCAACAACACAAAACTACTGTATGTAAATAGAAAATCTTCCTTAAACTCTTTGCAACTGCCTTCTCAAAAGGAATGCTCTCAGAGGAGTTGATGGATTACCAGGTTACAATATCCCTATCACGTAGCTCAGCAGCCTGATCTCCACGTGGCAGACAGAAGGGCCCCAAATCTGATAGGGACAAGTCCTGGGAGGAAGAGGGTACTTTTCAGGGGCAGCCTTTCCTGATTTGGTGCCCTGCAGAGCTGTGGGGGCTTCTTACCTTAACCAGTCCTAAACATATGAAATCAGGAATAGGTTGAAATAATATTTTTAAAAAGAATCCACCAGAGGATTTCCCGCGAACGCCCTGAGGGACTTAGCGGTGCTCTCATCCGAAGCTTCGTGGCGAGGCAGGGAGAAAAAAGGGCGCTTTCGTTGGTGTGCAAGCAGGCCCTGCAGCAAAATCCTTTCCCGCCATCCAATCCCTGGCCCGGACAGCCCGAAAGCAGCTGACGGAGAAGACCCACAGCCACCCCACTTCCTGCCCATAAAGCTCCCTCACCGGGTAGCCATTTGCCCACCTACCTTCTCTCCCCTCCCTCCCTCCGTCCGTCCACAGCGCGGACGTCAACCGCCACACGGTTCGAATTCCTCGCGCACCGCCCTCTCTGCCGCTGATTGGTCGATGAGCGCGAACCGTCTCATAAACGTCATCATAGTCGCCGCCGCTATACGCGGCTTGGTGGGCCATTCCGGAGGCTGGCAAAGATTGCCCGGCCTAGGGAAGGCCAGTCGCTGGCTAGGGCGGTTCCTTTAAGATGACGTCGGAGGCGGACCTTAAAAAGAATAGAACGTCTCGCCGCAATAACAAGAAGAACAGCAGTAAGAGGGGCAACAAGATTTTATTACTTTTCTACACCCAGTTAGTTCAGCCCTGAGTATGTATGGCTAGTTATTTATTAATTAGTTCACTATTTATTTCATTTGCAATGACTAAGCCGTACGATTAACCTTTGATGAAAAGATAGTCTTGTCGATATTGTACGAAATAATTGTGTGTGTGTATATAACTATGCTCATAATTATAACATTATAGTAATACATATATTACACCCATGGTTCCTTCCATTGGCAGCTATATCCAATGTAATGCTCTCCCTATTTCCTGGACTTCAGTTTATAATTTTTGGCTTTAGGAAATGTGTCCTAAAAAACTTGTATCTGCTTTCTACCTGAGGCTTGTGTTATTTCTTCACTCGCTGCTTGGTTCATCATCGCATTAAACATAATTTGCTTTACAGCTGGCTTCACCCATTGTGCTAAACCACAAACAATAGTTTATCAACTACAGTGGCTGTAGTTCCTAGGCAAAGCCAAAGCCAAACAAACCAGATTATAGTTTAAGGCATTGTGTGAATCCAATATAGAATACTATGGAGCTAATGTAATTCCTTAGTTTGGCTAAAAAAGGATATTGATATCCCAGTTTGTGGAATCTGTGTGAGAAAGCTGATTACTTCGATGGGAAACCATCAAGGTTGGTTCTCCATCAAAGTAGAGGTACTTTATAACTCACTGGAGTTTATAAAGCATGGTTTATGGTTTAGTTTGTTATGTCAACTCAGCCATTTGCTTATATCAACAAGCAACATGGTTAATCCATAACTTAGGACAGGGGTTCTTAAACGGTTTTGACCCAACTACCCCTTTTCCCAGTCTCGAATAATGTTCAAATCATCGTGGCAAAAACAAGCCTTAGATAGAATTCAATTGCTGGGCTTCTCTATGCAAACTCTGTGCTTATTAG